CATTCCACGGTGCAAATGGTCTTTTTGTTTTGCACAAGAGTGATCAATTAGATTAGAACAGTGATTAGAATAATCGAAGTTCCATATGAAAAAGCATGTGAAATGACATGGAAAGGAAAAGAGTAATTATAAAGTACTATAAAAGAGGTTCAACGTAGAAAAATGATGAAGGATTGTAAATGTAGGTTTTTCTAATTTTTGCTTTTATCTTATATGTTAAAAAGTATATTAATTATAATTTTTTTATTAATTATTATGAAAAAAAGTAAAAAATTGACTTAAAATTTATCAACTGTTCAAAAAAAATTATTCACATGTCATTGATATTAAAAATAAAATTAATTTTTTTTTGTGTTTTTTATTTAAATTAATAAAAAAGTACAATTAACATATAAATTCCAATAAATATATAATAGTAGGTGTGAAGTTGGGTTCTACACACGCACATAAAAAGGTGTAATGTGTTTTGGGGGTGGAAAAGAAGAAAACTAATGTGGAATATTTGTTTATGATGATCAAAATTTGTGATCATGGTCCACTAAATTAGACTAGATTCCAATTGTTGGATTACATATATGCCAATGATACCATGTTGAGTGAGTAATAATCTGAGCAATGGATCCATTCATTCATTATCTTTTCAAGTTTTTCAAAACCCAGTGACCCCCCTCTTTCCCAAGAAAGCTAGTGACCAACCCAATCAAGAAAACTTGATTTCCAAATCCCTGGTGATTTCTCCTAAAACACCATTCTCGGCTTCAAAAGGATACTCTCCAGTAGGGTTAGGTAGTAAAGAATTTCTCCTCTACCAAGCTATTCAGGTTTAACTTTCTTACTCTCCACAGTGGTGTAAGTCATGAAAAACAATTATCTTTCCTTTTTTAAAGATCTTTTGTGAAAGAAGTCGAAAACAGCTTAAAACAGGAATCTCTTCATCTATATATAAGTATATTAATATAGAATAATGAGACAAACAAAAGCTACAAACTATTCTCTTTGCCAAAGATTTGTGTTTAAGCTAAATAACACATTAAAGAAAATAACTAGAAATATATTTTATACATACTTGAAAGAGTGCAGATTACAAAGGATTTGAACGGAGTACAACCTTTGAGCATACTCTCTCTTTTTCTACCTTCTCTATTTGCTATTATTTCTACTTCCTACTCTCTTCTACTACCTTGACTTCTACTTCTACGAATGTCTATTTAAAGAAAGAAAAACTAACCTGGGTTACAAAGTAACTGCAGTAAAAGTAACCCTAGTTACATAAAATTAACTATGATTAACTAACCCTAAGGTTATTTACAGAGGTAACTGTAGTAAGTTATCTTTATCTTTTGGGAAAGATAAAAAGTAACTGGCTTTTGCGGAACATGTCTCATGATAGTCACTTTGGAGTGAGGCATGCCTGTTCCTTTATCTGATTTATTATCCCTCCATTTGGTTTTCGAGATTTTCCCACCCAACTGAGTCAAGATCATCATAAAAGCCCATACCCTCTGGCTCATCTGGGTCATCATTGGGAAGGTCGTCACCCAAATCGACTCCAGTGCCTCGACATTCGTACTGATCTTCACCATTTTTATATTCCTCAGAGTAAATATCTAGTAGCTGAGTGTAGCTTGTCTGAGGTGAGAAGGAAATCTCTCTTTGACTCTGACTATGAATAAACACATCAGGATCAAGATAAATTTTCTGAATACTGTCCTCAGTAAAGATGGTGTATCCAGCTGAAAAATCATCTCCCATGACCTGCATGTGTGCCATTGTTCTAGCTCTCCAATGTCTGAGTTGTTTTGTGAGGGACTGAGTAGTGGATGACCAGGCCTGAGCGTCTCTGTAGAGAGGCGGTAAACTACTCCTTCTTCTTAAAATAATTTTGTGCTGTGCTGGAAGCAAATGTCTACCCTTCCATTCAGGGGCCTTGCTCTAAATCAATGCCTCAACGTAGTTGGGAGGCATGCTTTCTAAGACAGCTATGGCAAATTTTCTTCCAACAAGATCAGTATCCACCATTTTTGTAAAAATTAATTGATAGAGAAAACCATAATCAGGGAGTAACTGTGGAGTTAACTCAATGATTTCCCTTTCATATAAAAACTGAATTGGTTCATAGGAGGATAGATCTAGAGAAACTCTGCAAATGCTATAGACGAGTTGACATTGACAGTCATACGTATCAAGTGGAATCCCATCTGCAATTTCTCCTTCATAGCTATTACACCTTTTGAGTTTTCCTTCTGTAGTAGAATAATAGGTGTCCCATGTGAAGCCTATACCAGATCGGTTAATACCATCTTCGGCTATCTGTTGAAGGAATTGTAGTTTTCTTGATTGGGTTGGTCACTAGCTTTCTTGGGAAAGAGGGGGGTCACTGGGTTTTGAAAAACTTGGAAAGATAATGAATGAATGGGTGAAGAAAAGGGATCGAAAATAAAATGGTATCAGAGCAACTGTGAGGCAATTGTAAAATATTTTCAAAAGAAAAATTAAAAATGTCTTTCTTCTAAAAGATGGATGAATTTTGTAAACATCATAACTGGAAATGGTTTTAAAGTAAAATTTGAACATATTAAAAGTAAAGATAATTATCTGGCTGACTGGCTAAGTAGATATATTCATTCTTCTCTTATGCAGGATCAGCTAGTGACCAACCCAATCAAGAAAACTTGATTTCCAAATCCCTGGTGATTTCTCCTAAAATGCCATTCTCGGCTTCAAAAGGATACTCTCCAGTAGG